TAAATTATTTCAGTGCTACGTGCGGCAACTGTCCAGCCCAGTCATGTGTTCTGAGTAGTGACCACTTTTGTTTTACGTAAATTATTTCATTGATGGTTTAGGAGGTTTAAGTTCTACAGTGGCTGACAGTGGCTGTGTTCACAATCGACTCACAATATTCCTGCAATCGAATGTGTTGCATCAGGAAGTTTGCAGGCTACAGAACAGAGGTTTTATTCTGCAGGTAAAACCTTCAGTCTCCTACTAGAGGCCCACTGTGTGTGTCCATCCTCAGGCCCTGGGTCCCCAGTTCCCTCTCTTTCTCCGGCTTGTCCCGGTGAGCTGTGAGGACTTCACCACGTCCAGGATTCCACGTCCTTCTATCCTCGGCCGAGTCTCCCCACACACAGAGGACGGCCGGGCTCTGCGTCCAGCTCTGCCCATGGGGAGGTTGCCCCTCACCAGGGTCTTGAAGCCGCCCCTGAGTGGGCTTGAGTCAGCCCCATCCCTGTCCGACTGGCTCCCTCTCCCAAGCTGGCCCATGGAGAGCCAGCTGATTTCTTCATCCTCCAGCATCGGGTCCCACGAGGACGTGCCTGCAGCCCCACGTGGCAGAGAGGCGGTGCTGGGAAGCGGTGGGGTGGCAGCGGTGGGAGAAGCAGCCTGACCCACCCGGGATGTTCCACTTTTATCCACATAAAATGCATTCTTGCTGGTCCCACCCAATGCTCTGACTTGGTGCGTGTGACACAGCCCAGCTCAGGGTGGGCATTTCTGCCACACGGTCACTGCTGGCCCGTGTCCGTCTTTACAGACAGGATAGAGAAGACTGCATATGCAAGTTCAGTGTCCCCATTCCATGACCTGAGGCTGGCTAGATCTACTCTCACAGCCACAAGCTGGGCTCCCACTAGCTTGGTCTGCAGCAGTCCACTGTCACCCACCAGGGTCCATCTGTCCTGCTTGGTCAGACTAGTGAACTAAAGGAAGTGTGGATGAGGGCCAGCACCTCTGCACCAGTGGTGTCAGGTGTGGCACTTGTCCTGCTACCCTTCTGTGACACTGTGATATTTATATGTTAGTTTTTATCCTGGCTCATACTAACCTGACCTTCTCCCGCCCTCCTCTCACCTGCTCCTTTTTCTTGCCGATGATGCAGGAAATTCTCTTATCGACTTTAGCTACTTATGGTCCTAAGACCCACATTCCAAGGGCCGGCCCATGGTTCACTTGGGAGAGCGTGATGCTGACAACACCAAGTCAAGGGCTGAGATCCCCTTACCAGTCATCTTTAAAAAAAAAAAAGACCCACATTCCAGAAGGGGCCCTGCCCCATGCCTTGGAGGAAGGAAGGCTGCACAGACAGGCCTCGCTCGGCTTCCCCACTCCATCTGTTAGGGTCAGGCCATGCTCTTTTTGTCCAATCACATTTCTACTCAGTAGTCCATGCTTCAGTCATGCCTACATCATGAAGCTTCCATCAAAACCCAAGAGCACAGGGTTCAGGAAGCGCAGGTCACTGAACACGTGGAGGTTCCTGGAGGGTGGCTCTCTGGGGAGGGCGTGGACGCTCCGTGGACGCTCCCCACACCCACCCTGCGCATCCCTTCATCTGTGTCCTTTGTGATATCCTTTACAGTAAATGGGTAAATTTTAGTATTTCCTGAGTTCTGTGAGCCGCTCACCTAATCGATCAAACCTAAGGAGGAGGTCGTGGGCGCCCTGACTTATAGCTGTTCAGTCAGAAGCTCCAGGGACTGGATTTGCCACTGGTGTCTGAATGGTGGCGGTCTTGGGGACTGAGCCCTCAACCTGTGGGATCTGACGCTTACACCAGGTAGACAGTGTGAGAACAGATTTGAATTAGAGGACGCCCTGGTGACATTCAATGCAAAGTTCATTGCTTGCTCGCTGGTGGGGAAAATGCCCCACATCTGGTCGTACAAGTCTTCTGTGTTGATTGCTGTGGTGTGAGATAACAGAAAAAAGTTTGTTTCTCCCAGTCACTTCCCCAGGATGAGACATGACTTTTTTTTTTTTTTTTTCAAAAGATGACCAGTGAGGGGATCTTAACCCTTGACTTGGTGTTGTCAGCACCGCGCTCTCCCAAGTGAGCCATGGGCTGGCCCTGAGACATCGCTTTTGACTTTCTTGACTTAGGGCAGGTCGGGGGAACAATTACAGGGACCTCCACCTGCTGTCCACACCACAATGCCTCTTACCCAGCAGGCTACTGACCCAGTGTGGGGTTCTGCCAGCCACCACCTGTTTCTGTTCCAAACATACATCAGGAAGTGGGAAATGCCTGCTGGGAGGGTCCCGGGACTGGGGGACCCCAGGTGAGGGGATTTGGGCCTGGACTCCACTGATTCTTTGGTCCCATGCACCCACCTGGACAGGCAGCCAGCATGAAGCTCTGCTGTGGAGACCCTGACCTGGCCCCTGTGTCCAACAGAGCCTGCCGTGTCTGGACCCACTGCCCAAGTGGGTGCCCAGGAGCGCCTCTGACTGATGGATGTGACGTGCACACGGACAGGGCGGCCTGTGGCCGCGCTCTCAGGCCGGGGACTGAAGGCCAGCTCCTCTGCAGGGCCCAGGACCGTGGTTTCCCGGAGGTTTCGCCGAGTCCTGCGCCCGCACCCTCGCGGCCTGCCCGGTGCAAGCTGACGAGCTCCCGTGCTGGCTGTCGCGTTTCCCAGGGACGCCGTCTGGACGGTGTCCTGCAGGACCCTCCGCTGTCGGGCCCCTTCCCCTTGCACGTTGCAGCAGGAGGTCACCGCCTTGCTCCTGGAGTCCTAGGTGGGTCCCACTACCGCTGCTGCCCCCGTGTCCCTTAGGCCCCTAGGCGCCCGTCCTGATGTGCACGTCACATCTCTCAGTCGAGGCGCTCCTGGCGGCTCACTTGGGCAGTGGGTCGAGACACGGCAGGCTCTGTTGGACACAGGGGCCAGGTCAGGGTCTCCAGAGCAGAGCTTCATGCTGGCCGCCCATCCAGTTGGGCGCATGGGACGAAGGAATCAGTGGGGTCCAGGCCCAAATCCCCTCACCTGGGGTCCCCCAGTCCCGGGACCCTCCCAGCAGGCATTTTCCACTTCCTGATGTATGTTTGGAACAGCAACAGGGGGCGGCTGGCAGAACCCCACACTGGGTCAGTAGCCTGCTGGGTAAGAGGCATTGTGGTGTGGACAGCAGGTGGAGGTCCCTGTAAGTGCTCCACACAACTTGCCCCAAGTCAAGACAGTAAGTCAAAAGCAATGTCTCATTCTGGGGAGGATAGCAGAAGTGCCACCCTCAGATCCTGCTGGGTGCAGAGGTGCTTGCCCCTGTCCACGCTTCTTTAGTTCACTAGTCTGGCCTGCAGGACAGATGGACACTGGCGGGTGACTGTGGACTGCTGCAGACCAAGCTAGTTGGAGCCCAAATTGAGGCTGTGAGAGTATATCTAGCCGGCCTCAGGTCCATGGCGCGTGGGCACTGAGCTGGTCCATGCAGGGTTTTCTGTGTGTACAATACATGCACTTTCACGCCCGCCTCACTTCTGGGAGACTGGATATGCAGGGCTCTCAGCTTTCAGCTGTCATCAGGGTCGCTGAAGGTCATACCTTCTTCCACGTCACATCCTGTTTTCAACGCCTGATCAGTCGTGGTGTACAGGCCTGGCTCTGCTCTGGACATCTTCAATGGGCCGTCCCAATTCCACAGTCCTGCAGGGTTGGCTCAGCTCCCTCCTGCTGCTTTCCCCTCTTTCCACTGGGCTTGATCCCAAGAGCCTCCCTAAAGTACGTCCCCCACACACATCTCCTTGTATTCTGCCTTCCGGAAACATGGACAGGGCAACTGCACAGGGCTTTATTGGTCTTTGCAATGACTGGCTTTCCGTCGGAGCGAGGTGGGAGCCCCTGCGGCGTTCTGAGCACAGGCGGGATGGGACCTGCCTTGTTTAACAGGCTCACTCTGGCTGCAGTGCTGGGAACAGGCTAGTGGCCCAGGCATAGAAGTGGAGGGCTCTAGAGTAGGGGAGCGCCATTGGTCTCCGGTGGTTGCAGAGGGGATGGTGAGGTTCACGTGCACCAGAGGTGGGGCCAGCAGGACTTGGTGTGGTGACAGATGGGCTTTGGCCTGAGCAGCTGGATGGTGGAGCAGCTGGGCCTGCTCTGGGGAAGACTGGGCAGAGCAGGTTTGGTGGAGGATTTTGTTGAGGATACCGGTGAGCCCTCGCCTGCAGAGCAGGCACTTGCACTTGGGTGTGTGAGTCTGGAGTTTGGGAGAGAAGTCTTGGCTGAAGACATAAATGTGAGTCACTGGCATAGATGCCTCTGTCACCATGAGGGTCTGAGCCCTCCAGAGAGAGCCGAGACCTGGATGGAGCCTGAGCGGCAAGCAGGATACCCCCCAGCCCCCACCGCAAACTTTTGGGATTGGGACGGGCAGGGATAGCCGCTTGAGAGCCTGAGGAGGAGGGCAGTGTCCACCGCCGGCCCCACGCGGACCGTGGAGCTCGGAGCTCGTGCAGCCCCTGCTGGTTTCTGCTAAGCGCTTCCCCTCGACTGGGGCTTGTTTCCTCTTCGACCTTGCTCGTCGCCTGTGTTCCCAGGGTCTGACACTGGTCACCAGAGGTGACACGGGCAGAGTTCTTGGGATAGAGGGGCTGCAGTTTCAGCAGCTCTGGTCCTGAAGGGGGGCTTAGCCCAAGCCTGGGGGGCCCGGCCCCTCCCGGAAGCTGAGGCAGCATCGTGCCCACTCACCACCCACAGCCCTGAGGGGGCCTCCTTTTGGCCATGAGGGAGGGGCTCTAGTTAAAGGTCTGCAGCCACTGTCCCTGCGCCCCAGCAACCTTCTCTGGGGCGGGATGACTGGGACAGAAGGGGGCTCTGGTGGGTGGTCTGTGGCCTCTGAGCACTACCCACAGCAGCCTTTGATGGGGGGCTCTCTGGGCGGGGGGCGGGGCCGCACCGTTTGGTGGCTCCAGCCTGTAATTTGGGTTATATTTAGCCAGTGGCGCTGGGCTGGTCCCAGAGGACGGCCGGGGCTATAAGCGGCCGCGGGTGCCCACCCTGGAAGTGAGAGTCTGAGCGAGGAAGAGACAGCGCTGGAACCCATGGACACGTCGTACCCCCGCGAGGACCCCCGGGCCCCGACGCCCCACAAGGCCGACAGCACCGGCCACACGGCCCTCACGCTGGGGGTGCCGCGACCTCCGCCTCGGGACCACTTGATCTGGTCGGTCTTCAGCACCCTGTACCTGAACCTGTGCTGCCTCGGCTTCCTGGCGCTGGCCTACTCCATTAAGGTGGGCGGCGGGGGCTGCATGGGCTGCTGTCAAGGTGGCGTGGGGGAGGGCATTCCACAGGGGGCTGCCGGTGAAGGGGCCACCCCATTGGCATGGCCTGAAAGGGGCTCCTCACCAGGGTGAGGGCCAGAAAGGCTTGTCCATCATGGTGGGGGTGCTGTTCATAAAACAGGAGGTCTGTTCTTAAGGGAAGGTTTAGTCCGTCCAAAAGAGCACGGAGCCCATGGGGTGTATCTGCCCATCAAATGGGGGCTTTTCACCTGCTGTGGGCTGCTATGCACAGAGCCCCCTTTGGCTCCAGCTCCTGGGTGGGGGTAGGGTCTCAGCACCACAGAGGGACCACGTAGGTGGGTGCTGGCCTGGGATGGACACTGGGTCCATAGCAGGGGCAGGAAGAGCCAGGGGCCCCACCCAGCCCACATTTGGACCGGGGTCTCTTATGATCCAGGGCTCCACGGAGGGCTGAGGCATGTGTAAAGTTGCGGGCAGGGAAAGGAGTGGCTGAGCTCGGGGGAGTGTCCCCTCGGGTCATACCCCTCCATCCAAATCTTGGGTCCAGCATGGGCCCTCCAGTTTCCCCAGGTGGGGGGCAAGGCCCCCAGGCCTGAGGACATGTAGATATCTGGCCCTGCGGCCACTCCGCAGGCCCGAGACCAGAAGGTGGCTGGGGATCTGGAGGCGGCCCGGCGTTTGGGCTCCAGAGCCAAGTGCTACAACATCCTGGCTGTGATGTGGACACTAGTGCCACCTCTGCTGCTCCTGGGGCTGGTGGTGACTGGCGCCCTGCACCTGTCCCGGCTGGCCAAGGACTCTGCAGCTTTCTTCAGCACCAAGTTCGATGACACAGACTATGACTGACAGGCTGGGTTCTGACCCTGTCCTCACCAGGGGACCCGGAGCCAAGGACACTGACAACAGGGTGCTGACCCTGGGGCTCAACATTGACCCTCTAGGGTCTTCATCCCCACCTCATCCTGACCCTGGGGCCTCCCAGCCCCAACCTGGGCACCTAATGATGATCCTTTCAAATCCCAGGGGCCTTACCCTAACCTTGAGGGTCCCCAGCCTCTAACTCTGCCCCCACCTGACCCTCCCCCCCTCACTCAAACAGGCTCAGCCTCAGTTTCGCAATTAAAGGTGCCTGTTTCCAGAAAGTGCCTCCTGGGCCTCATTCCTGGCTAGGGTGGGAGAGGGAGCTGCCCTCGGGACCACGGAAGCCACATCCCCCTGGAATGGTGGGCGCCTCCCCAACAGCTCAGCAGCCCCGTTCCGTCTGCCTGGCCGTGCCCCCAACTGCCCCTTTGCTTAGCCAAGGGGAGGCCTGCGGCTTCTGGGGCGGAGGCGCCTGAGTATTTTAGAATGAAGTTTGGGAACGCAGGCCTTTGATCTCTGCTGCCCTGTGGTTCAGCGGCCTGCATTCTGTAACGTGTGGGTGCGTCTGCTGACTCCACATGTGCGCCCACCCCATCTACGTGTGCACGCGTGTCTGTGCGTGGGGCACCTGCATGTGCTTGCAGTCTACGTGGGAGCCCTGCCTGTGGGCTGGGTGTGTGCTGCCCTCCTTCTGGGTCACTCTGTGTCTGTGGCCCTGTGTGCCACTTTAGTCCTGAGAAATCTCAGTACCTGAACTGTGGTTTCCCTCCTTCCTGGGTCAGTGAGGTAGCCGGGGTGCCTGGGCGGGACCATGGGGCTGGGCGCACACGGTCCCCCTGTCACCCATGTACATCTTCCACACGTGTGCAGGATCCCAGTCCCTCCCTCTGCCCCCACCAACTGTGCACAGAGAGGCAGGCAGGGAGGAAATGCGGGTGTGAACATTTTCTGAGCCCCCTGATGCTCGGTGACAGTCATGTTACTTCTCCTCTCTCATGTGCCACACAGCTCCCCGCCCCCCAGAACCAGCAAAGCCTGGCAAGTGGCGCAGGACAAACAGATGCACGAGCTCTGTGTGGTGAGGCCGCAGGGCCTCCCTGGGGCTGGCCAACGACAGGGCGGGCTAATTGCAGGGGCCTTGACCACAAGGCAGCTCAGGGTTTGAGCACCCCACCCAGGGTGCCTTCCCTTCCCAGGAGTCCCCCTCACTTGCCTGTCTTCCTGGGCTGGGTGGGGGTTTCTGTCTAGTTGCTCTACTTGGAGCCCCCAGAGCTACGCCCTCATCCTGTGACATGCCTGCAGCCAACAGCTGTCCTGGCTGTCTCCACGGAGCCCACACTGAGGACAGCGTGCTTTGGCCGAGCTAGCCCCTGGAGGCAGAGGTGTGTGGAGCTGGAGCACTGGCCCCTGCTGGGTGCTGGTGACAAGACAAGGCTGGCCCTTTGGTAGACCAAGGATAGGGGCAATGTGCCAGGCGGGGCTTGGATGGGGACAGAGACAGTGGGCCAACTCTAAGCCTCAGGATTGGCCCAAGAAGAGATTGACTGGTGCTGGACACAGAGGCCAGGAGCAGAGGTCAGCCTGGGTGTGGCCAGGTACATGTCCACAAAGATGGGATGGCCTGCCAGTTCCCATGCTTTGAGAGGGGGCCAGGGATTGTCTGGCCCATGCCGAGGTGCTGAGGACAGTGTGTGGTCAAGATGCCTTGGGGAAAGGGTCACAAGCAGCCCTCCCTGCCCCAGCCTCAGTCTCCTGGGCAGGCTGATGGATCCTGACCAGCCAGGCCAGCACACCTGCCTGGTCACCCCACCACGGCCTCCCCAGAGGGTCGCCACACTGTGTTCAGAGGTGACAGCACACACGTGCAGCAGGGACTAGGCCACATCTGTACTGTGGGTGCAGGACCACCTGTCACCTGTCCTGCTGGGACAGGCCTGGATCACGGCAAGGAGAAGAGGCCCCCGCTCTCCTCAGCAGACCTGCCTCAGCTGTTTTTTGCCCAGTGACAGCGTTTGATGGGCACAGATCTGCAGCTGAAGGAGAGACTGCAGGCACCGAGGCGAACCCCACAGAAGCGTAGGTGACATTCCCCGAGGCCCTGCACCCTTGGCTCCAGCTGGGCCCTGAACTTCTTGCTGGTCTGCAGCTTAGGCCACGGTCCTCCCCGCTGTGGCTGTGAGCCCCAACAAGCATGCCGCTCGGTCACTGTGGCCGTAAATGCATGGTGTCCACAGGTCCCCACCATCTGCACACCACATTGTTCCTGTTGAGGTGGCCACGAGAAGTCCCCTCTCAGACTTCCAAGTGCAGAGGCTCAGCTGGCCAAGGCCGGCTCTGCCCTGGAGCACAGGCTCACGCCATAGGCTGCTCCCTGTGGTGACTGAGTGTTGCAGATAGGAGGCAGGCCCCGGGAGTCGGGCGTTCTGATGCCACCTCCCGAGCCAGCCATGGCCCAGGACACCTCCACACACACCTTTCCCCTCTCCCTCATGCATCGCGGCAGGCCTGTGTCCTCTGACGCTCAGCTGGTGCCTGCTTCTTGGAGACAGGGATCAGCTTTCCACTGTGAATAGGGAATGTGGGCAACGCCAGTGTGCGAGAGGTGCAGACAGCAGGGGACCCACCTTGCTGCACTTTCTGATCCGCTGCACAGCCCTTTCTTTTAGAAGGAAAGAGGCACGTGGGCTCCTTAGAGAAGTAAAGCATCTCCCACACCAGACTTTAATTGCTCAGGCTGACTCTGTGCAGGGGGCCTGGTCCTCACTGGGATTTCGGCAGCAGACGTCATTTCACCCCACTCTTGGGAAACCACCGCTGACCCATCCCAAGGGCCGAACACAGCCTCCAGCTGTGGGCAGCCTGCCCAGGACAGATGGGCCGGGGGCCATGGCCTTGAACCCTTGCACATTTGGCTCTGCTCCCTGTGGCTGGTCAGTGGGGAGACATGGGGTCTTGCTCTGGCATCTGTCTGTCCTTTATCTCACAATGGCTCCCCACTCTCTTCTCATGGGCACTTGGTTGAGGAAAGGCTGCCCATCCCAACCCACTCTGTGCCAGAGTCTGTCCAATCTGACCAAAGTGGCCACAGTCCAGAGCAGCCAAAGACTGAGACACATCCCCATAACATCCCATGAGCACCTGGACTCAGCCATGCCTGATCCTCAACTGCACGATGACACAAGTTCCTTTCTGGTGAAGCTGTGACTGAGACGCCTAAGTGATTGTGCAGGTGGCCGAGTGCTGTTCCTACACCTCTCCCAATCCCTGCCGTCCACCTCCCTGTCCTGCACCTGCCTCTGGTTTCTCAGCAGAGATGCTAGCCACCCTGCATCTGGTCCTGTGGACTGTGCCCTGTGACCACGGCACTCGGAAGAGTCTAAGGACAAGAGGCCAGAGGTCAGACGACAGGCTCAGGCCCTGGCTGCAGGAGCTCGGGAAAGCGCCCTGGAGGGAGTGAGAAAGGGCACCGAGGGACAGCGGGTGCTGGTGTCCACCCACAGGGGCAGAGAGATGCATGGGGACACCTGGGGACGCCTGCCATGGTGGGTCAAGGCTGGGGAGGGGCCCAGTTGGGCCTGAGGGACCAAGGCCATCTCAGAGAGGAGTCCTGTGGTACCAGAGGACCAGCGTCTAATGTCTTCAAATTTCTCCTGGGACGCCCTTGGAGCTGGAACTTGCAGGCAGCTATGGGAGTGACCTTTGTATCCGGCCAGCCGAGCGGGGAAAGGAGGCCTTCTGTCCTGTAGGGAGAGAGGAGGTGTCCTGGGGGTGAGGGCACGCTCCCAGGGGGCAGCTGGGGTATGGGCCCCTGGGCCCTCGGACAGGTCTGGGGGTGACTGCCTACCCGGTGGCAGGGGGAGCCGAGCTTCTGATGGCCACAGCTCGACCTCCAGTGGGGGTGTCCAGGGCCCTGCCCGAGTCACAACCTCGACTGTCACAGAGTCCTCAGAGAAGAAAAAGTTAAGCTTGTTCCCCTGGTAGAAGATGCCAGAGACGCACACTCTGGGGATCCCCGCCAGGCACACAGGATCAAAGGTCACACCTGTCCTGGTGACCCTGTGGGGTAGAGTTCTGTGAGGAGTGGTGGGCGCGGCTGGCTGCTCTCTGCCAGCTCCTGTACTCACCTGAACCCCGTGCACCCAAAGAGCACTGCCTGCAGAAAGCCCCCCATGCCTGTCAGGAAGTTCACGGCGCCTGAGCCGTCCGCATTCTCCGTCCACACCTGCAGGGTCAAGGGCTGTGGGTGCCGGGACCCCCAGCACACTGGCCCTCCTGAGGCTGCCGTCCAAGGTCAGGCAGGAATCTCCAGGGCTGTGACCCTGCTGTGACCCTCTGAGGCTGGCTCCACTCCCACCACGGGGCTCAGTGGGAGGCAGGCACGGTCAGCCTGTGGGTCTCAGGCAGCGGCCAGGCTGACCTTGAAGGGCTCCGTGACGTTGGCAAAGCTCCTGTCCAGGAGACCCCGTGCCTTCACTGGGTCCTTTAGCTCCATCCAGCCCACGGCAAACATGCTCTGGGGTCAGAGGTCAGAGGACACGCTGGGGTGAGGCCCACTGTGTGGGGATGGAAGACTGAGGCCAGCGGGGCAGGACCACCCCCAACCCCAGGCTCCTCACCCAAGTCATGGCAGGGCCCTGGGGGGACGTCACAGCCTCGTAGATCTCCAGGTTTGTCCTGCGAATGGCAGGACTCAGGGGGAAGGGGACCGGGTAGCCCAGGAGCACCACGTCTGCCTGCTTCACCTCCTCTCCTGCGGGGAGAGCTGCTGCTGACAGGGGTGGGGGCGCTCCAGGACACAGGGGTCAGGGGGGCAGGGGGCCCTTGAAGGAGCTCTGAGTCCACTCACCAGGCTCGTACCCATCAAACTCTGGGTGGAAGTTCCGCTCTGGGTCAAAGGGCACCTTGATCTTATCAGCCACCAGCAGCCACTGGTCAGGGACCGGCAGACCCAGGTCCTGGGCCAGGGCAGCAGCAAAGCGCAGGCTGGGGAGAGGAGGGGGCTGCAGCCAGCACTCAGGCCGGCCCCCTGCTTGGTGGGGTGGGGGTGGGGCAGGTCTGCAGCCTGGGAAGGGAGGGGTGGGGAGGTTTTCAGGTCTGACCTGTTCTGGGCCAGGACATTGGTGTACACGGAGTTGTTGACCCCTGAATGGTACTCGTCGGGGGGCATGACTCCTGGGCACACAAAGCCATGATGGTACTTAGCGCAGGGTCTCAGGGGCTGCCCTCGATGCCAAGTCAGGGGCCTGGAAACCACCTGCTGAATCTGCAGCATCCACCACCTCCCCTCCTGCGCCCCTCACCCCTCACCCCTCAGGTGGCATTCCTCCTGCCTGGGGCCCCACTCCACACGGCTGCACCAAAACTCCGCCACGCCACTGACCACGTCCCAGCCGCCAGCCTCTCGGAAGAGCTGCAGGTCCTGGGGGCAGAAGGCGGGACAGAGGCCAGGACTCCAGTGATTCTGGTTCCCACCCAACGCCGACCCTTCCGAGAACCCAGAATACAAGACCTGGCTCCGTGACGCCTGTCCTCAGCCAGCTTCCCAGGACTGGCCCCGAAGAGCAAGTCACGGGGGCGGGGGCGCAGCGACACCTCACCTGCGTGGTGTGGTAGTACAGCTCGAAGGCCAGCACCACGGCCCCGTTGATGTGGATCTCCTGGACCCCGTAAATGTCCTCGGGGCAGACCTCCAGGCCGGAGCCTGCGCTCTCCCAGGCAAACTTGGCTCCCTGAGGGGGAGGGCGGTGGTGTAGACGTGACCCTCCTCTGGCGTGACCCTGCTCTGGCGGGCAGGGGCCGCCCACTGACTTCCCCATGCCCTTGACCTTCAGAGAGAGGAGGAGGTGGGGGCAGGCAGGGTAGTGAGAGGACCCAAGAGACTGGGCCAGAGTGGGGTCCCAGCCCTGCTGCTGTCCCACCTCCCCTCTCAGGTATAGGCTGCGGGGAGCTGTTGAGGCCCCACAAACTTCAGGGCAGAGAATCCAGGACGTCCCATCCCCACCCAGAGAGGCGACCTGGGGTGTGAGGACACCAGGCCCTGCAGGGCCCACAGGGTGGGTGCCCAGGTCCTCCTTACCTGGTAGCCCAGGTTCCGGGCATTCTCCAGAGCGCCCCCCAGCGTCCGGATGCGGTACTCCAGGATAGCCCTGGAGGCCTCCGGGTGGAACATCAGGACACTCGGGAACATCCAGAGATCCTAAGAGCACAGTCCCTCTTCCTGGAGCTGGACAGGCTCTCACACCCTCTCCCTCCCCTCCCGCCTGGTAGAGCCTCGAGTGGGGTGAGTGCCTGGCGAGCGGGGTGGCTGAAAGCCCCATCGCTGCCTTCCTGCAGTCCCTCTGCCTCCGTCCAGGTCCTTCCGCCGCCACCCACCCAGATCTGCTGTGGGCCCACCCGGGTGCCCCCTCCAGCCCAGACGCTCTGGAGTCTGGTCCTCAGTCCAGCACTTCCCCTCCCCAGCAGTATGTGGTGCACCCAGAGGCTCAGGCCGGAATCTGGGTGTGCACAGTGTCAGGCGGCAGCTGCCTGATCTAGAGTGAACGGCTCAGCCTCCCGAGACTCAGCCGTGAGATAGGCCACAGCACCAACCTCGCAAGGCATGGGGACGATGACGGAGCAGCCCTGAGCACAGTCACCCTCGACACCTCCACACCCAGCAGTCACTGAGTCCCAGCACCCTACACCCTCAGCTCCTCCCAGCCACCCGCAACCCGGCTCCACTCTGATCTTTCCAGGACGCACCTCTGCCCGTGTCCCTCTCCCTGTTAAAGTCTCTGTGGCTTTTGTGGCCCTCAGGTAAACTCCAAGCTCTATACCATACTCTCTACGAGACCCTGGTGACTTGGGCCCATCGCTCTCTTTGCCATGGTGAGCGCCCCTTCCCTAGCCCATGTGCCACACGCATCTCAGCTCTGGGCCTTTGCATCTTCTGGTCCCCTCGTCTGGACCACTCTTCTCCACCGAACTCCTACACACCCTTCTGCTGAGATGCCACCTCTTCCAGGAAGCCTTTCCTCACCCTGTGCTTCCCCAACCACAACTCCGAACCCAAGGAGGGCGTAGCTGGTGGCCCTCCATGCCCATCTGCTGCCTACCACGTGGCCGGTGCTGAGTGGACGATGCTCACCTGGTCCCAGAAGACGTGGCCCCAGTAGCACTCCTCACGGCTCCCATTTGAGAGGCCCCCAGGGCTGAGGCCATGGCAAACATATCCTGGGGTCCCGGGCTGGGGCAGGGCACTGAACAGGTAGTAGAGGGAGCCACGCAGGGCCTGGCGCAGGGGCAGGGGCCCTGCCACATCCAGGCCACAGCCTGCCCAGAGCTGGGCCCAGGCCTGCACGTTGGCCATATACAGGGTGCCCCCGGCCTGCAGCTGGAGGGCCTCGGTGAGGCACGCCTGGGCTTCAGCCTGGCTGCTGCCCACCACGGTCAGAAAGTCCCAGGTCCTGTCCTCCTCGCCTTCCCCCAGGGTCAGGGCTGGGGGCACTGGTGTCCACAGCATGTGTATCTCGTGCTGCAGCCCCCCAGGCTGCTCAGGGGTGAGCGTGTGGCTGTACAGGTACCTGCAAGAGTGTGGCCGTGCCTCAGGGATGGGCACCCTCCTTGGGCCGCCCAGCTGGGACTCTGGCCCCCTCCTCACCGGGCTCCCTGGAAGTCAGGTCCCACATGCAGGTCCAGGTCTGGGCTTTCTGGGGAGAAGGCTGACCGCAGCAGCACTGTGATGGGCTGGCCCCCTGTGGCCAGGCGGGTGAGGCACACACTGAAGGCCAGGACGTGGGGCAGTGTGCGGTGGGCATAGATTCGCTGGGAGGCGCGGAAGCTGGGGCCCTCCAGTGTGTGCAGAAAGGAGCCTGGGGCGGGGGGTGGGGAAGGGAAGACAGGGCCCCGGGGAAGGTTACAAAGCTGCTGCCCCCAGAGATACAGGCCACGCTGCACTGTGGCCTCCTGGGCTGGCAGTGGAGTCCCTCTGACCTCTGGCTGTTTCTTCCCACAGTGAGGTGGGTCCACTCTCTAAGTCTTGGGGGCTCTCTCGGAAGCTACAGCTGCACAGGGGACCCCGGGCTCCCCTCCAGAGGGAGGGGAAGGTGGGGGACCCCGAGAGGCCATGCCTTTCAAGTCGGCCTCTTGCCTCCTTTCTTTGTGAGGCTTCCTGTGGAAAGTCAGGAGGTGCGGGAATGGGATTTGCTGTTGTGGACCCCTGCTCACCTGGGACAATGGTTTGGGGGTAACAGGACAGGTGGCGGCTACCTGCGTTGGTGTCCAGGGCAAAGGTCTCGGTCAGCTGCTCTCTTGTCCCGGCAGGGGCCTCCAGCCGGACGTTGAGGGGGCTGGGCAGAATCGCCCGGTGTGTGTCCCTGCCAGCCCCATTGTACACGCCACTCACATGCAGTGTATCATGATACACGCGTGTGCCCAGATATGCATTGGTCACAGTGGCCAAGAGCCGGGGGTCACTGGGCAGAGAGTGGGCAGTGAATACGGTGGGATCCTCGCCGGCCCCCTCCATGGAAAGGTTCACTCAGCTGGAGTGGCCTAGAGAGTGTGGGGTCAGGGACCCTGGCATTAGCGGGCCTTTCCCAGGCCCCTCTCAGAACGTGGCTGATGCCCCCCACCAGATTGTGGTGGGAAGTGTGGGACCCGCCGGGCAGCCCTGATTATCCAGAGCCCCCACCTACGAGCCACCCCAGGAAAACACCTTCGACTCTCAGAGATGCTTGAATCCCTAATACTGATTTCTGGGAACCACCGAACGTCCCCTCAGACTCTCGCCTTAGAACCCCAACCCTGACACTCGGGGGCTCTCTCCGGCCTGCTCTCCATGCCACGTCCCGTCCCCCAGCCCCAGTCCTGACCTCAGCTGCATGTGGTCGGTGAATGAGGAAGCCTCAGCCCAGGGACATTCGTCCTGCAGGAGGCAGGGCAGGCCGGGCTGGGGCTGCACGGGGCACGCGGGTCGTGGAGTGCTGGGGCAGGGGCAGCAGCTGGGAGGGCGGGCGGCGCTGTCTGGGACTCACCGCAGCTCTGCTCGGTCACCGGACGCCCCAGGTGGGAGCCTGTGTCTCTGGGTCCCCCCCAGGGTCGGGGTTGGCGCTGCCCGTCCAGGCCCGGA